CGAAAATTGTAAAATGGTAGAGAACTTTTCTTCTCAGTTTAGTCCATTCTGCCCCTATGCGAAAGATTTTTCATTACTTTCCAAATATCCTGTATATATATACATATATATATATATATATCAATTTATCAGGATTATTAAAGTGTTTTAATAGCAAAACACAATAAGCTTTTACAATTATCTTTATATTATATTGTATATATAATATTTCACTTTCTTTTTGAATCATAATTACAATAAATAATAAATTGCATAGATTAAATATATGTGTTTTGCAATATATTAATAAAATAGCATTAAAAAACTAAATAATGATGTTCGATAATATTTCAAAATGTTAAATTACAATATACTTTTACCTAAAGTTTTCAATATGTAATAGTAATACTTTTTAAAGATATGCTGAATTTTTAATATCCAATTTTGAGGGCACGTTCTTGCTTTTAATCGCAGTTAGTGTGTGTTGCTTGAGTTTAAACTTATTCCGAGTAAGTCTTATCGCATCTTTGTATAATATAATATATATTTTAGATAAATATAAATAATGTAATATTTCATAATATTTTCATTAAAAGGATCTATGATCAATTTAATAAAAAATATATAATAAAGAAAGAATAAAAAGTAATTGAAAAATTTAATAATGTTTAAGAAAGAATCAAAACTTAATTCTAAAATTATAAAAAGACAAGAAAAATTCGTACGTATTTTTTATTTTCTAATTTTCTTGCAAATTATCTAAAACTTTAAGAAGCATGGTGTTTCAGATTTTTGAAAGTGTAACATTTGGCAACAACAAAGAAGAATTTTTATTACATTTTACGATTGTAGGTGTTATTCTTTTATACGCGTTCTTAGCTAACTATGCTGGACAAGAAATCACGGATCACAATAATCATGTCTTTTCCACTGCGTAAGGAACTTTTTATATATGTATAGTGTCTTTCTACTATATACGGTATGTATGTAGTATGTAGACGCGCATGTGTACATTTACTAATTTTTTTACATATTATATATTTAAATTATTAATTATTTATAACTATATATTATATTTATATTTTCCATAGGTATAATATTCGCTGGTATACAGCGCCGTTATCCATACAGAAACTAATATTATTTTTATTACAAAGGGGTAGCAAAACTTTCAGTTTAAACGTCAGTGGATTATTTCAAGCATCCATAAAATGCTTCGCTTCAGTAAAAACCATATTATATATTAGAATATATATAATGTAACACACATCGCATAAACAAAATAAAAGAAAGTAGTATATTGTTGCAGTTAATGAGTACATCAATATCTTACTTCACTGTCATATACTCTACACAGCAATGATGTGAAAACACATCATCTAATAGTGTATAAAAATTAAGTAGGTAAATATAAAGAAATGCCTGATTTTATTGCCTCTATTAACTGTTCAATAAAATAAAGAAATATAATTTTTTTTCCTTTAAATCGTAATGCTGCTTACGTAACAGAGAGAGAGGAAATAATTAGTTTATATATAATATATGTAGAACAGATTGTATTCGACACATGACATCAATAGAACTATGAGGTATTTTTCGAACGTAAACGTAAGGCACACACAAATAGAGCTTACAGAAAATAAATAACATTAAATTTACATTATAGAACTGAACGTGATCTTTGCCGTCAAACGAAGATTTCTGTCTTTGGATAATTTTAAAAATGAAACATCTAACAACGGACATGGTTTATTATCATCATCAGATAAAATCACATTAGAAAAACTGACATGGATTTTGTCTATTTTCCGACATATAACAGTAATTATGTATAGTAGAATAGGTTTTAAATTTATATATTGAAGAAGACTCTCTATATATATATATATATATATGAGTCGAAACGTCTAGACATTAGATATTCGGTATATTACCTTAATATTAAATAATAATTAATAAACAACGTTGTATGCTGGTTTATTTGGTCGTTTTGTAATTAATTTATTATTTATATTTTGCTAATAAAAATTTATTTACTATTTTCATATATGTACAAAAAGCAATGAAATATCGAAGAGTGTTGATTAAATAAATAATTCGAATAAATAACATTATATCTAGACATAGTATTTACAATAATATTATTAAATGAAGAAAAATATCATTAGAACAATTTTACTTTAAAAAATGAATAAAATCACGAGATACCTAATAGATAAATAATGCTTTTAATAGTATATTATGGTCCAAACATAATAAATGTTTCAGCCTTTGTTAAACAAAGTTAGTAGTATATTATACCATATAAAATTAGAATATGTAGTATTATGTACCTTACTAGTGATATTTTCAGTAATTGACATGTTAACATCTCAAACCAATGGTCGGCTATTTTCTCTCAACGAACAAACGTATCCGACGAGAGCACGAAATAGAATGAAGTATATAAAAGTACAGGAAAAAGAAAAAGTGACTACGCTTGCGCGAATTTCGATTTCAAAGTCTCGTAAAAACTTTTCTGTGAAAAATAAACATCAGTTAAATTTTCTTCAACGTCAAATCGATCGCTTAATCACTGACCTCTTCCCGAGTGAACATAGATACTAAATTGTATGCGGCCTATTTGTAATTTCATGTTGCTACACTGTTTATGCATTTGTAATAAGTTATACAATTGACATTAAAATTAAACGAACAGAAATTTGATCGATCGAAAGAAAGAAATATGCAAAACTTTTTCAGCACTTCACAGTTAGACGCATGTTGATGTTTAACGAGAGATGAGACATTCAAGAATTCAGCACTTTAATCTAAATCGAATTCTTCTGCTTATGATTGGCTTATGGCCCTATAAACAATCAAAATTCGTTTTATTTCAGCAGATCTTATTTTTTAGTATTCTAACGAGCTTTGTTGTATTTCTGGTGCGTTAATACTTTTAATTGTATTATATTAAACAAACTGTGCTATAATATATATTTAATATTTTAATATTAAATATTAAATATATTATTTGTTTATAAAAGATATAGTACAAATGATTATATTAAAGAATTTAATATAATTATAATTATATATATTATTAACATATAATATATTATAATAAATTAAAAAATATCTGATTATTAAATATTAAAATATTCTATAATGCAACTTATTTATTGTAGCTTACAAAATTTTTGATCGTAGAATGCACATCCGATTTTGTTATTACAATGTTCTCTTTCATACTGTATTACGTTGCATTTATAATTAAATACAATTCATTTTGGAATAATAGTCAAACCGTAAGTTAAATGTTTATTGCATGCATTTTAAATAAACATCCGCTATAAATGAATGCTTTTCTATATACACAATTTTTTTCAAACAACTATTTTTCCATTTCACAACGAGAAGCGTTATGAATAAAGTACCTACTGTTGATACAATAGGTAAGAAATTTATTGGATCAACTTAAGCATGTTTGTAATGAGCTAAAAGACAAAAATGAAATCGATATTATGAAAAGATATGGGAGCAACGCAGAACGTTATACAGCTAAAATTATACGTAAGAGAACAGCTATTGATTTTCATCAAATACCATAAAAAAAGCTTAATTAAATTAGTAGCAAAGATTAATAATAATTATTATATTAATTTATATAAAGGTATATCCTTATCTCATTTTAAAATGAAAATATTTTTTTGAAATAATTAATAGTAGATGCATAAACATAGTTATACTTCCTTAGAAATGTATTTTACTTATCAAAATTAGAAAAAAAAATTTAATGACAGAAAAGCTTAAGATAACTACACAACTATTTTTCTGCAAAAATATCTTGCAGCACAAATTCAGTAAATTTGAAATGTATAGCAAATCGATACTTAAAAAAAAAACAATGATTTATATGACTACTTTTTTCATATCTTTAGTTATCACAATCGTTACTTTATCTATTGCTATTTTTATGTCAATGTGGCCACGCATTCTAGACATTATTAAACCCAAGAATGAGTCTCGATCAGATTCCTTGAAATTTATAATGACGGAATACTTTATCGATGAAGAAAAATATTTTTACTTATCTTTAATACACATGAATGTAGCTCTTTGTATAGGGGCAACTACAATGATAGCAACAGGAACGATACTCATAGGATATTGTAAATATGTTTGCGGAATGTTTAAAATCGCTAGGTAAGAAAATAAATACAAGAGTATAAAAACTAATGTTTGGAAATCAAATTATATCGATAATACCAAATAAATGTAGAAAAATTATAATTCTGACAAATATGTCATGTACAGCTATTGGATTGAGCGAGCAATGACAATTAATAATTCACAAAAAAAATTCAAGAAAGAGATTATGATTTATAGAGAAATAATTTATGCCGTGGATATACATCGCAAAGCTATGGAGTTGGTATTTACTTGATAATGACAAGATTTTAAAACAAACAATTGGTGCGCAATTTGGATGAACTGGAAAATGTATAAATTCATGCAAAAATATTATTAGACACCAATTCGTTTATTTGTATTATTCTGAACATATTAATTTTCATTTATCATTGTTTATTTGATAATGCTTACGTGCGCTCACATACACGCACAATGTAATAATGTTTTTTTTTATATTTGAAGGTTATGCAAGTCTTTAATATCTTGTTTTGAGGGATTGTTCTTCTCATTAATAGCGGTTGGCGTGCTTAACTTAAGCCTCAATCTCTTTCGAGTGAGTTTATGCTTATTTTTGGATACATACTACACAAATAATAATAATATGTTATAATATTCGGATTTAATATCCATTGATTTGTGAAAATAGAATCTACATAATATTTTGCATGTAACTAAAAAATTATTGCAACGACATTTTCTTATTAATATTATATCGATTTATACGTTATTAAAGTAAATATTGTATATTTGATATCTCATTGCTATTTTAGATTTTTCAGACTATATCAGTTGTAAACAACAAAGAAGAAATCATATTGCACTTCATAGCTGTAATTATCACTCTTTTATACATGTTTCTAGCGAACTATGCCGGACAAGAAATTACGGATCACAATGACCACATATTTTTCACCGTGTAAGAAACAATTAAACAGTTTAATATGTACTGTATAATAATTATTGCGCTAGTGGGAAGAAATGTATCTTTCCTGTATTTCTCAAGTCATCGATTCATTATCTGTTCATTTGTTCATAGATATAATGTTTGTTGGTATATAGCACCATTACACTTACAGAAGACGATATTGTTTCTATTACAAATAGGCAATAAAACTTTCGGCCTGCAAATTGGCGGATTGTTTGTAGCATCTCTAAATTGTTTTGCATCAGTGAGAAATATATTACTTATTATGAAATATATAAAATATATCATATGAGATATATAACATATAATAAAACAGAATGTAATTCACATTATAGCTAGCAAGTACATCGATATCTTACTTCACTGTTCTATATTCCACACAACAATAATATAAAAATATACATTATAATATTATATTAGAATTAAATAGGTAAGTGTAAAAATAAATGCACGATTTTTTTGCATTTTAACTGTTTAACAAGATTATGTAACACTTCCGTTTCTTTTCAAATCGCTGTCTGTAACATAAACACAGAAAAGGACTACGTTGACTTTTGTGTACTAGAATCAATTATATTTCACCGAAAGTAACTTTATAAAATACATATTATTTAGATATATTCTATTCATATACATGAATACAATATATTTTGCAGTTTTATACAAGATGAATAATACTATAATAACATTAATTCTATCTATTTATTCATTCAGTCAAATCTATAGTATCACTATGATGTCGATGGTAAAATTTAAGTTAAAAATATATATTAAATAATATAATATTTGCCATAGGTACAAAAAGATCAATAAATGCCTTATTGCAATCCTTTTTTTAATACTTACATTTATATATATAGTAAGTTTCAAAATCGAAAAATACAAAAAATTTGTTCATTTTTTTCGATTATTTCTAGAAATAAACTATTCTTTGAGAAAATCACGGATTAGATTTCTTATTAAATTTTATTTATTATATGACAAAAGTATATCTAAATATTAAAATCCTAAGATTTTTAAATAGTTTTATTTTCAGTAAAAAGTTATGTTTACAGTTTATTTAAAATTTCCATATTCTCATCATTAAATTATTTTTTAAACAACTTTATTATACTTTAATGGAATTTTTAAAAAATTCATATTAAATTGCATCAGTTATCGGTATTACTGTTATTTATTATATCATATATTGTATTATTGTTATCATCGTATTGTTATAATAATTACAATAATTGCATTTTATTATAAAAATCTCATAAAAAATAGTATGTATTGATGATTTAGGTTATTTAAGTAAAAAGAAAAAAAGAAAATTTACGAAGTAAAAAAATTAAAGCTGTATAGAAGATCGTTCATCGATAAAAACATTTCCTGACTGACTTACAATGAATTGTTTTACGCTCTATGTTGGCGATACTGTACTTCGACAGATTAGGGGTTATTACGTTATACCAGTAGGTTATACGCAGCTATCATCCGGTACGTAAACAAAATTGTTTATGTGGTAACGGCCGGAAAGCGACGTATGCGTAAAACGAAAATTATGAGGTAAAGACATCAATCGGATGTCCCGAAACCGGTGCCTTTTTCCGAAATGTAAATTATAAATGTAACAGAGTGACAATATTGGCAAATATCATCCTTTTCTCAGAAGAATGAAAGTGACGACGTTAAAAGGCATTTTTCCAGACCCTAGTAAGTAATATTACGTCTCTCTTATCAAACAATCATTTATAGAAGCTCGAGAGAATAGATCTTATTTCATAACATATGCATAAAATGCTTCAGATAGAAAAAAATAGTTGAATAAATTTGGGTGCATAAAAAATAATTAATAATGTTGAATATTTTGCTTGTTGTTGTTGTTGTTGTTAGAACCAGTCAGAAGGAAGAATTTTATTCAAGAAAATGTGAAAAATCTCCGGCGAATGGAACAATGCTTCCAAGCGAATAAAGAGCTGGAAGAACTAGAAAAGTTACAATTACACAAGCATCACAGGAGTACAGACAAGTACCAGAATGTATCTGCGAAGGTGGTCACTACCTTCCGGGACAAGAAGAAACATGAGAGCTATTTTAATGTTGAGCGAGTATCAAATGATAAAGTGGAAATTGATGAACAAGCTCAGAATAGGACCAATGTATTTGAATATGATAAAAAACATGCTGTTTCTACTACCAAAAAGGTTATTGGACCAGGAATGAATAATAACATGACGGACAAACAAAAGAGAACTGGTAAACATAAGAGTCAGCAGAGATTGCAACCAAAGATTTCGCCTGAACCAAATGTATTGCATAAATCTGATACTGCTGCAAATGGTTTGGAATGTTTGGATGCACAAAGCACTGTTAAGTACCGAAGTCAGGGGATTCAGACTTTAGATACAGATCAATTGGAAAGTATATACTCTGAAGGTGTTATTCGGTAAGTGAATTTGGAACCTATTATATAAATTTCAATTCTAAAAAAATTGACAATATGTAATAATATTAGATTAGAATAGAATTAATTAAAGAAAGATCTTGAAAACATATACATATATTGAAATTCTTAATACATTTAAATCGTTTTATCTGTATAATTGACATTTACTATTTACTTTAAATAATTTTTAATTGTATTCGTGAGGCTTCCATGGGTGTTTTCTATATGAAAGTCATGCGTTTCATGGGTTTTCTCTGTGTCCAGATTCATTCTTGGAATGCCAACGTTTTGTAAACTTTGCAGTCCACTTCATCAGAGCAAGGAGCAGCCTGATACAGTATCAGAAAACCCGCGAAACGCATGATCTTCAATTTTTAATTGATTAATTTTCTAATTAGTAATTCATTAGTGTTAATAAAAAAATTAGTAATGTTAGCAAGCAAGATTTTATCTAGAGACCATTTTTCTGATTTTTTTTCAACAGATATCCATCAAAGAAGGTTACAAAGTACGAAACAGCAAACAATGGTGATTTAAATAAACAAGAAGGGAAGACCTTGAAGAAACAATCTGATTCGCCTGCAGATAGAGGTGATATGCATGATCCAGAAGACTTACAGAAAGCTGATTTACGAAATTCCATGTCGCCAGCACCTAAAGAGGAAATCGATTTTATCAAATTAAATAAAGAACGTACCTCTGTTGCCAATAAACTGATGACACAACTTAACAATGGTGTACCACCTCCAAATTATCGCAAGGGAGTTTTGCCTAAGTACAATATTGCAATTATTTTTCTTCTCTAATTTTTCTCGACGTTAAGCTAAGGTTGTGTTTAGTTCAGACGCTCACGCACTGTAAGTTTCATTTTATCTTTCTTTCACATATAAAGAACAATAAAGATAGAATGACAGCGTCTAAACCAAATGCAGCCTAATTCTTCTTTTTCTATTATCTTTTCTATTTTTCAATTGATTTTTTTACATTATAGTATATTTTCTTAAAATATTTTACTTATGTATACTGTGAAACTGGAAAATCTCTAGATTTTTTATATACATAATTATATACATGCAATAATTAAGAAAAATCAAATATAGGAATTATAGTCCAATGTACTATAATAATGGAAAATTACATATTAATTTGATTATGATTGATGTAAATATTAAATCAGAAAATAAAATTAATTAATTTTTTTTCTTTTTCCTAACAATTTGTTTTAATAGATATCTTCGAGATAGAAAGGAAGCACAAGAAAAAGAACAAAAGGCCAAAGCAGAAGCATTGCATTCTGATTGTCCGGAGGGTCACGTGCCTTTACCTGATCACGAACGCAAGGAGACATTACGATTATTAAAAAAAAGTATGTAACTATGGTATAATAAAATTTATACAATAGTCATAAATTATTTGCTTTAAATGTCAGTATTTAATCATTCAAATTCACTGGATTGTGTTTTTGGAATACAGATTATCAGGAGTACGTCAACGAATTAAATATGATGCCTATAAAAACGGATACTCTTAGAGCACAAAGGCGCAAGATCGATATAGAGAAGCAATTGAATAAACTGGAAGAAGGGATCAAAGTATTTTCGCGTCCAAAGGTTTACGTGAAGATAAATGCATAATCGCGTTGCTTCAACTAGAACGCAATGTGTATGTATAGAAATGTTGAGTGTCCGTCCATGCCCTAATTCAAAATATCGTATATTATTTGAGAATCCAATTACAAACGTCATTGTATCGTGGCAAAATGAAGAATTAGTTGTACATATTTCTCTAACTAGTCAATTTTACACATATACATATATGTATATATATATTATATATATATATATATATATATACATGAAAGATTGACTAGCTTGATCGATTGACATCTAGCATTAAAAAAAATTCTACAAACACAGATAAAAATACATTGAACTATTTTCATACAAGCACAGTCTGAATTTTGCTAGCAATTGTGTAGATAGGAATATATCACTTATTAAAAATATAATAAATATTTTATTTAATATGTTAACGTTGTACATCATTATTTTGTGTCTTGTTCAAGTCTTGTCAATGGTATGCACGAAGGACGTTGGATCGAAATGTAATCTTCCTAAGTTATAAAATATCTCCTCATTGTTATACCACTTGTTTATGTTAAAGTCTTTAAAGAATATCATTATTTCTCTTTTTGCGGATTCAGTCGAATCTAGAGTGAATAACATTAGTGTCTCTTTTTTTTTTCAATACAAGCTTTTCGTTGGAATGTGCGATATTATGATTGATTACCAGATCCATGCGTGGCATTTCTAGTATCCGAGAGGCCAAACATTCCTCTGATAGTATCTTGTGCATTATATTGCGCTTGATAGACTTTTGTAGGGCCCATCAGCTGACGCCACTTCGTGATAGCGTCGTGACGCGCCAGAATGTAAATGTCGGACGGACCGCTGCACATGAAAGTCAAGAGACGATTGTAGAAGAACTTGTCCCTGTGCTCCTTGTAAAACAGTTCGGCCTCCTCGTGTGATATCGTCGTCCTGCGCGATCTGACAACTTTGAAATTATTGTCAATTATTAAATCGCGAATCTTCTGAAAAATCAGTGCGAACTTTAGTCATTAGATCTTCGAAATCTCGTTCCCTCGACGTTAATCGCGGGATCCTAACATTCCTTCAGTTATCCTTCGGAGCCTAACCTGCATTCTCACTCCGTGAAAGTGAGGTTAGGTTCATACCTGAAGAACGAAAGGGGATTTAACTACGTGCGGCTTGAGTATCGCCAGTGTCAACTGGAGATAATTTGTTGGCTGCATATCAACATCCTCTGGCTCATCTACGAATTAAAGAAGCTATAGTAGTATCAACAATTACCGCCCATACGACAGACATGGGAACGCAAATATCACCACGTGTATTTCACTATTTCACCGGTTTCACGGCTTCGCGCGTCGCGCTCATTCATAATCGGAGCGGAGATGCCCGATTGTCTGACCGCAGCGATGACTTCTACTACTAGTTTTCATACAAATATCGATCTTTTTTTATAATATTCATATTTATACAAGTTAATATTTGTACATTTTTTTAGTGCTGTGTGCTAATAAAAATGATAGATTTCTTTTGCGATACAGCATATTTATTAATTCATTTTATTTAGTCTACTTATTTAAAAAATAGGTCTTCGGCTCTTTTAGTAATTTCTCGATTGTCTGATTTATCACTGATAATTTGTATTATAAATCATTTATTGCTGTATATCGTCCTATACTATTAATTTTTTTTATAACTCAGAAAGAACATAAAATCATAATAAAATCAAGTTGACATCAATTAAGTAGAAGTTATTTTAGAAAAAATTATAATGATGTCATTCGTACATTTTTGACGACGATGATTTTATGATAAATTCTTGACTTCATAATGATTTTTAAGTGATTTTTAACTAATAAAAAAATCATTAAAAAATCTTGACCTTATCATGTCAAGAATTCATCACAAAATTATTATAAAAGATGTATCGAATGATCATCGAACATCATATTATAATTTTTCCTAAAATGACTTCTATTTGATGTTATCTTAATCTTATTATAATTTTATGTTCTTCCTGGGAACTCAAATATCGTATATGGATTCATATTAATTCTTCGCAACTGACGTGATTTACAGAACTCTCATTCACAATTATATTCTATTCTTTATGTTGCATCTGTAAACTTGAATTATTGTTACTAAAATTGTTAGTATTCATTCTTTTTTTTATTTATATCATTTCAGTTCCTTGAAATTAATTAGTGTTTTTAGTCAACATAAATTAAATAAGCCGCATAGGCCCAACGTTAATAATTATATTTACAGATTTTGATGTCAACTTTATGAGTAATTGTATTATCTTTCTTAATTGGATCAATCGTAACTTTCAGGAGCGCGAAGCAAAAACTAAGATAAAACATTGAACTATGGAAACATGGATTACAAATCTATTTACAATTGACGACTGTTTGATAGCTTTGAGATATCTCTACGTATCACCGTACCTAGACGTCGTTGATTCGATGAAGACACTGAGGCGACTGGAAGAAGTACACGGATACGCAAATACGTACATACATTTGAGTGCGCTCGCGCAAGTAAAACGAAGTAAAACGGAAAGAAGCGAGAAACCATAAAGTAAGTAGAATGGGAAACAATACGCGATGCCACCGAATTGCCAGTAGTAGAAGCTAGCCAGCCAGCTACTATTCCCTTTTCCCCGGTCTCTTCTCGCACCCCTCGCAACCCTTCAACCCGTCAGACGTATCCGCAGTGGTCGATGCCTCCTTTTCTCTCCTGTTGCTCATCCCGTTGCTACGCCCTTCTCTGCCCCGCTTGCGTCTTCCTGTCTCTTTCTCTCCTTTCCGTTCACTAGTATCCTCGGTGATACCAGGAGAGAGCCATTCGAAGTACAATGGCTGACTATAAATTACCCCTGGAAACGCTAGCATTAGACCCTACCGGATTCACCCTTTATACAAAGCCGCCGCTCGCGAGAGAGAAAGAGAGAGAGAGAGAGAGAGAGAGAGAAAGCTTAATTGAGCGACCTCGATATAGAAATCGCGATACGAATCACGGACTATTCGAGTCGTGTCCTCGAGAGTTTCGTATTTCATTTGAGACTAGTGTCAGTGTCACTCTCTCTTTTTCCTCTCTCCAGCCAATTTCTGTATTCGAACGTAACGTACTTAATTGTGGGAAAGAAAACCGCTTGGTTGAAAGAAAATGGAAAGCACGTTATAAAAATTCGATCGAGTTTGTAACTTGCATGCTTTTGTATCAATCTTATATATTATTGTTAATGTTTGGAAAAGGAAGAATATCATTCCAAAAAGATGTAATAAAAATTCATATATCTTGTTATAGAAAATTACATGATAGAGAGTAAATATTATATATAAAATATTTTATAACAGAAATTATTAACTATTTTATTAATCAATGATAAAACTAAGGTCTTTTTTATATAAGCATTTCATATAAAATCAAATAGAAATTTCCATTACATTTTTTTCTGAATCTTTTGGTTGATGTTTGTTCTTTTTTCCCTCATAGAAATTTTCAGTTTTATTCTACATATAAAAATTCAGTTAGATTTTACGAATTTTAAGATGAAAAATAATAAAAGGAAAGAACTTGGGATTTGAGTCTTCCTCGGTGGATTCTCACAATTTGATTATTTTTATTTTGCTACACGGGCGCTATTGTGTTCCATCCATCGGAAAAAATCTCACGCCTTTCGGATTGATTTATTGCAACTAATTCCTGCCTGAATGGTAATCGCGTATTGCGCCCACTCCGCGGTTGGTCGTTAAATTCACGCGCACATGTGCGCGTATTTAACACATACAGGCAGCGAATGTAACGAGAACGACTGAGCGAGTGACAAATTACGAATAAAATATTGATTCGCCCGTTGCACCGCCGGTTTGTCAGCGCGAGCGTTACGCCGAATTAATGTACCAGCGTATATAATTGCACTACCGTTCGTATTAATTACCCGTTCGTAAGCTGCGTCAATCTCGAATTGCAGTAACAGCGACCGTACCTCGATTATTCTAACAAACTGTATTCGCGAGAGCAATCCTCGATCGTTATATCCTCTTTTCCCCAAAAAGCATATCGATTCCATTAAAATTGACTATTTACCAGCAAACATCAAACGTGTAATAAGATGATGGCTTTTGTAGGCAATTATTTTAATTAATAAAACTTTAATTGTGCCATTCGTATAACTAATAATATCGTTTAATTTATTAATTTTTAAGTTTCAGTATTCCAGAATGCTCATTTTGTTTTATAGCTTTACAATAATATGTAATACAAGAAAACATTACGTCGAGATCTTTTCTTTGTCATTTTTTAAATTTTTTGGAGAAATTTTGATTAAAAGAATAAATTTTATTAAATTTCTAAAATTAACGAAAATAAATGTCATACAATTTAAAAATTATTTTTGAACCTTATAGAGAGAAAAAGATTCATGTTTTAATATCACGTTTAAAATAACCGTTCCAATACAAATCTTACAATTAGATGCAAATTTGCAAATGGAATCTGAAAAGAGCCCTGCCAGTTCAAATAAATCGTTCATCACGTTATCGCTGCGGTTATCGCTGATGTTCACGATATATCGCCAGATTATCCAGCTCGTTGATCGTCCAGCTATGGTGGCGAACGGACGATTCATTGAATAAAAAAATACAAATGAGATAGCAGAAAGTTTCAAATCGAATTCCGGTGGAAGTTTTATGAGCGGAATGTCCGTAAAAACGACGAATCGTGTTTCGTGTTTTCCCAACCCTTTTTTTCTTGCCTAGACCAATTCTAGGTTGCTTCAGTATCTTCTCTTTCTCTCTTTCTTTTCAGCTTTCTCTTATTGTCGACTCCTTTTCTGCGGTTACACAACGACAAACGACAACAAATGACTTCTTTTGGCCTCTCGGAAAAACAGCTTTAATCGCCTCTATCCTGTGAGGTTTGGCGCTTGTTACCGAAAAGTGGGACTTTTCGAAGGGAAAAAGCGAAAAGCGTGGCAGAATAAAACACAACGAATGGACCAACGAGTTGAAACGAATACAGAAAATAAGTACGAAATCGATGAAATATAAAAGCTTGAAGAAAAGGGTCGAAGTATATAAGTGATAACGGCGGTAAAAAATCTATCCAAAGTCTTAAGATAGTTTAAATAGATCTGTAAGGAATTCATTTCGTGTAAATTAAGCTTCCTTTAACTTTAAATACTATCTAGATCTTTGGAAATATTTTTTTATTCTTTTCAATAAAAATATTCGAAGAATCATAGAGTTTGTTTTTACATTTTTTAAATATGCACACAAATATTTATTACGTTGAAGAAAGCGTTCGAGGAGTCAAAAGTTAAAAGGAAGATCTCCTTAAGGAAATTTATTCGCTATAGGCGAATCTCCTCCAACTTTTGCTGCAAACTTTCGCCGGAATGTTTTCTCGCAGCTGCGAGGAATCGTTCTCGAAGCGTTTTTGAATAGTTCGGCGAATTATTGGCAATCAGGATGGAATTATTTTTTAATGAAACTTCGAACGAACGCCGAAGCATACATAATTTTAAAAATACATAATATAACCTTATAAAGTAATAAAAAGCTATCAGAAGACTAAACTTAGAATAATTATCCAGAAAACAATAAAATCACATACGTAAATATAATTTTATAATATGAAAATCATATTTCAATATTATACAAATATATACATAGTTTCAATATTAAGATATATAGGGTGTCTCACAACTACCGTATTTCCTCTTAAGAACGCATTCTTGAGATAATTTTGAGACGAAAATCTTAATACAAAAATGTCGAGATTACAATAGTTTTTGAATTATAATTGGTTAAAGATAGTGTGTAAATAAAAAAACTATCATTGCCTCGATATTTTCGTATTAGGATTTTCGTCTTAGAATGTTCAAAAGAATCCAGAAATAATAATAGAGGCTATAAAAGTAAAATGGTTTTTGACTTATAAACATTTAAAGTTAACTCATAATTCAAAAAATTATTGTAGTCTCGACATTTTCGTATATTAAAATTTTCGTCAAAATTATCTCAAGATTCAAGAATACGTCCTTAAGAGGAAATGCGGTAGTTGTGAGACATCCTGTATACACACGATACTCTTTCGTGATAATTTGCATAGAAATTATGATATGTATGTTATTATCGGATCAAGAAGCACGAAAAATATTTCAATATTCTAAAGATTTTATTTTATTTTTAATTCGCAAATGTAACGAATAGTTTTAATCATTGAAATTTTTTAATAATACTTAACGTTTATTTATCAAATTATTTATATATCCTCGTATAAATATGCACAATATATTTATATAAAATTATATTAACTTTTTAAAAATCTTATTAAATTTATTATTTTTATAGTTTAAATATATATATATATTTGAAATATTATTTTTTTAATTTTATTAAATTTTTATTAAAACATTATACTTTACATATAAAAAACGAT